AGTTCCTTGAGCTTAAGATATGCTGAGCGAGTTCGGCCCTTTTGATTTTCCGACTCCAACTCCTTGCACATTTCATTGTAATATTTTGCTTTGTCATCTCGTGCTGCCTTTTGAAATCTTACTCCCGTATATTAATAGAGCTTAAAAACCAGAATGTGGTATGTGTACATAAGATATAAGTGCATATACTTTTAAGAAGAGAAATTTTGGCTCTTCACCATCAGGTGAAGATGAAGGAAGCTGAATGTCTGTCATCTGAAGGGCTGCGGGTGGCCAGTCGCCCCACATGCAGGTCTGGGCATGCTGCCTACAGTGGACTGAACCTGTGCTGACAGAATCCAAGAATCTGGAGTTTTTCCAGAATCACAGCATCCACAAGGGCCTGGAAAAACGGTCTTGTTTAACTCTTTGTCTTAAAGTAAGGAGATGTGGCAGCTTACAAATCTCACATCAGTTAACGAGTTCAAGTCTGTCTAGAAATCCACAATTCTAAAGTGGGGGGACAACACCAAGTATGGAGCCTTGTTTTAGAAACACATCTTCAGGTGCTGATGCAGGGGTTCTCTGTGCAAACAGGAACCTCTCAGAGAGCCGTTCCTGGGAGCAAAAGGCAAAACTGGTCCCTAAAGGTTCAGTACATAATGATTGTGCAATGGGGATTCCCATCTCCCAGAAGCAAGAGCTCTCTGTAGGGAGAACTGTTACAGCTGAACAGCTAAGGGATGAAAAAAGTGGGAAGAAGCGGAGCCTGGATTTAAGATAAAAGTAGAGAGAAGTTAGACGAAAAATGACGAGAAGTAGATGATTGACTGGAAAGAGCCAGGACAAACCACACAGTAGTAAAGTGAGAAGTAGAAAGGAAGACTTGTTGTCAGGCACCACAGAGTCACCTATGACTCACAGCAACCCCAGATCTGACCCGTGTCCTGCATGCGTATTATCTCTACCGTGCTCAAGTCTACTGTCACCATTTCAGTCCATCTTGTTGAGAGTCTTCCTTTCCTTCACTGACCCTCTATCATTCCCAGTATGATGTCTTTTTCCAACATGTGCCAAGTATGCGAGATGGAGTTTCACCCTCCTTATCTCTAAGGAGCCACGGGATAGTCAATCCACTTTGTCAACACTGCAGGGAAAAGACAAAATTCTTCTACTGTCTTATTTGAGATGCATATGAAGCAAGAGAAAATATCATGGCATGAGCCAGGTACACCTTAATTCTTTAAATGGATGTCTTTGTTCCTCAGCATTTTAAAGAGGTCCTCAACAGCAGACTTAGCCAATGAGCCAAACATGTCTTTTGATTTCTTGACTGCTGCCACCATGGGTGTTGAATATGAAATCACTGACAATGTCAATCTTCCCTTCACCTATCATGATGCTGCCTATGGGCAGAGAGGTGACGATACTGGTTTTCATGATGTTGAGCCATAATCTACATTGAAGGCTGGAGTCTTTGATCTTTTGCAGTAAGTGCTTCAAGTCTCTGTCACTTTCTGCAAGCTTGCTTCAAGGAGTAATTGGAGAGACTTAAAGACGAGGGCAAGAAGGGATAAAACAAGCAGAATGAGCAGGATGGGGAGGATGGGTGAAACACAGCGGCAACAAGAGGAGGGCGATGAGATCTGAAATGGCAGGGGAAACAGAAGGAGAGAGGGGGCAGGAAGGGAGGGAAGACAGCTGGCCAAAGGTTGAGGGGGCAGAATTTGGAACACACGAGTGTAGGGCATCTTTTCATTGCTGTATTCCCAGAAACTTACATAGCAGGAACTGAGGAGGGAGGCACGAGAAAGAGGGGGAGAGGGTAAAAGATAAAGCCAGGCAAGCAGAAGAGGAAGGCTCGAATAAAAGATCAACATGAATAAAAGTTTCACGAGGCACACAGGGGTTAAGGTTAGTTAAAACTACAATAGACTGCACACCCATGTATACTGTGGTTTTGTTCACATAGCAAAGAGTTGGAAACAACCCAAGTAGCCATCAACAAACGAATGGATAGAGAAGCTCTGGTATAGTCACACAATGGAATACTACGCTGCATTGAAAAACAAGGAACTCATGAAATATTATGCAAAATGAGTGACCCTGGAGGACATTATGCTGAGTGAAATATCTTAGGCACAAAAAGACAAATACTGCATAATGCCATTGTTATAAAAGAGGACTGACATAGGTGTTGGGGGGAGATGGAGAAAAAATGGGATAAATTATGTATACCGCATTGAAGCAGATGAGGGAGAAAACTGTTTAAAAGGGATCCACGATTAGGTATTATTGTCATGACAAGAGTCCAGAACGAAGGGTGCATAGTGGAGTGAACTTGGGGCGAGAGATTGTATAACAATGAAAGAATTTTTCTTTTACTTTCCAAAAAGAAGAGTGAACTGGCGGGGAGGGGTGGGCAGGAAGAAAACTGCAACAATGAATGAATGGAAATCCAAAGTCTCTGTAAACTTTCAATAAAATGAATGAAAAAAAAAACCCCACAAACCTACTACAATAGACGTGGTGCCCACAACAGTCTGTTTCATATTCCCAAATTACGGAATTCACATTTATCATAAAAATGCAAGAAATCATTTGATCAAATGTTTCTGTGGTTGACATGAATTCTAATTTATACAAATGTCTGGAGCTTGAGTAAAAGCATGATCAACTGTACTGACAAAAACAATGGCTACGGCCTGTAGATGCCCACTGTGTCACTGAGTGAGGCCAAAAAAGGCCTAGGAGCTCCTTGTCCCCCAGACCCAGCTCCCTCCAGTGGGCCACTGTATCAAATGAACTTGGCCTCAGGCTGCTGAATGTTTTCCACTCATTCTTTTATGTGACCCAAACCAAAACAAGAGATGAATGCTTGGTTATCGTAATTAGTGGAGACAGAAACCTGGGTACATACTACAAAAAATCCACTTCCTAGGCGTATCGTTATCTAGAAAGCTGACTACATTGATTACATTAATCTAATGATTACCAAATCCTTGCTTTCTATGAAGATTTCTATGACATTCAATCTAATAAATGAACAAGTATCTCTAAGATGCAAAGTTTTCCCAGGACACGTGATTTTGCTTGATAACTCACACGTACAAAAAAATGGGAATGCATGTACAATTAGTCTCATGAAATTTTCATGCAAAGGAAAATCTATCCATCAACTTAATAGTGGTCTCCCAGACACAGTCAAGTGGGAACTAGAATGTCAGATGCTGTGAGAAACCATAATCAAGTACATTTTTCTTTGCAGCTTCTCACACATGTAGGTGTTTTCCAGATACAGGAGTAAAATCAGGATTTGTATCAAAATTACTGTTACAAGATTTCAAATTAAAATGGAGGGTGTGATTAAGGATCACTACTTTGCAACTTGAGGGGAAGAGAAAGGCTGGTTGAATCAGATTCCGGGAATCCATGGTATGTTTCTTAAGCAGAAAAGAATTATTCCTCCTGACTAACAGTGTCATTTACTTATAATATTGCCTAGACTTAAGAAGCTTACTATTTACGGTCTTCAATTAAAAGTTGTATATGATTACACATGCAGAAGAGAAGACAGGGTTATGTGCGTCAGAGAGTATGGAGAAAAAGTTCAGAGGGCTGCTGTGAGGAATACTCACTATTTGGTGGAGTCAGACAGCTGGTATTCTCGTCGCCTATCATAGCACTCCTGGATTCCAGGGTCATTCCATAAACTCTTTATTGCATCTACATACGGGCTCTCAAAGGCAGACACTTTCTCCACATCAACTTCTCGTACCAACTGAGCATGGGCCTGTTTAAAAAAGGACAGGAAAGCATTTCTTTTTATGCCATCATTAGAAACTGCTTTAGTTTGCACATCTTATTTTTTCAATTTAGTAACATCTTTTCTAAGTGATTAATAAGAAAATAAAGCTTCACTTTCCCCTTCTTGAATGAGCAAAACGTGAGGCTACTAACAACTGATTTAAGGAAATAAAAAAAATCATTGTCAGCTCATATGAGAACAATGAACAAGTCATGTTAAATATGAGATTGTTCTAGGTCATTAAAATATTCCTAAAACAATTAATACTGTTATAGGATAAAATTATAATTCATTATCTCCTCTCTGTGTATAGTTCATTATAATCAAGCCCAAAGTATAACTAATGTTAAATGTGTTTTCCAAAATACAACTAATCAGATTAGCATCCTCAACTAATCACAATTTGTTTCTACAGTTCACTTTTATGATAGGGTGTAATATCACTAGGAAAAAAATTAGTAATGATTTAATGTGAATCAGATCGACTACATCTGTGGAAGGAACCGCTGGAGAAGCTCAATATCAGCTGTGAAAACTAGGCCGGGGGCTGATTGTGGACCAGACCACCAATACACATATGCAAGTTCAAGCTGAACCTGAGGAAAATTAAACCAAATCCACAGGAGCCAAAATATGACTTTGATTTCATACCACCTGAATTTCAGAATCATCTC